TAAGCAACGTCGTACCCTTAAATTAATGACAGGCTTCAAAGAAGGGACTCGCTTCGCATGAGCGACGAAATTACCCATGATATATGGCCTATATCCGTGAGGTGGGCGAGGGAGGAAACCATTAACAATCACTTTTGTGGCTGATAAACGGATATCCGTATTTACATAAATTTTGAACAGTATAAAAGTGCTCTGGACGGTATAAGCAGGAGTTTCGATACTCATCGAATGTCAATAAGTCTTCAAGGCATTTTCTAATTTGTTTTTTGCTGAAAGAGAGGTGGAATATGACGGCAGAAAATTTTTGAAATACCATAACACAAAGGACTCCTTCAGAACGCTTCAATCAACGGAATTCAGAAGATTTTCAAGGTTTGACACATTTGCTTAGGCTTATTTTGCTTTCTGAACTAATCCTCGTATCAACGGAGAATCACATTCGCTTCGAATTTAACCAACTTCCTTAGTTACCCTCTGGTAATTTCTTTGCTGTGAAACAATCAAAGTAGAAACACCGTAAAATATTTTCGGAATGACAATTACTATTTTTGGTTTTCAACAAGTGAAGCAATTATAGCTGCACCATTGCATTGTGTAACGCTCATGAGCATGGGTTTTAAAAAATGGTTCGGTACTGTTCCGCCTTAAAACTTATGACATTTGCCCCTAATAGAGTTTATGATATAGTTACAATCATTTATGTACAGTTATCCCAGTGGGAGAGCAGTTTGTGCATGTCAAAGTACATTCCATCATTTTAACAAATCATTCAGTCGGTATAAATTACCTTTTCACTTAGGCTAAATTGACCTGACAGAATATCGTAAAAGCCTTCGCTTACTCAACCGAAGAGATAAATAACAGAAGCAAAGCGGGGAGGGACGAGCAATTTTTCAAGACTGAATGTTGGCTTGTGCTCATAACAGCTACTAAACTCTCTGACTTCTGGGTCCCGAATTTTAAGGTGTGTACCTAAGTGGAACTAGATATCTTAACTGTACGAAATTATCACTCCAGTTTATTACAACTAAGGACTTTTAATGTTTTGCCTCGCGCTTCAATTACACGCCTTGCCAGCGTAGAGTAGACGAGGAAAAGGCAAATTTGTTTTTTGTGTGTACAAATGGTTTCCAGGTCTCGCCTTATCAATAACGATAAATTAGTATTATCTTAATGTTCTTTATTTAGCTTTTAAAGTTGCAGTGAATTAATAAGGATAACCTACAGGGATAAACCAGGGTGGTGAAGTACTCATACGTGTAAGATCTACCGATGAAAAAGGACACGATCCATTCTTTCGGTCATTTCTTTCTCTGGATTCGATAGTATATTAAATAGCCAGATTTAAACGTTTCACAATGTCTTTGCTTTGATAAAAAGAAAAACATTTACGCAGAGGAAGCGTTGTAAACGAATGAAAGCCGAAGGAAAGTTGACTGAGCAAGTGAGAGAACATTTACGACATGAAGATCTGCTAAAACCCCGATGTGCCTTAACTTACGTGCCGTATGCAAGGTTAAGATTAAAATTGCTCAATGAAAATAAGACAATTGTTTTGTTCTTTCTTTTCACCTCTTCCGAATTAAAATCCATATTTTATTTACAATTCAAGCCTTATGCAACAACCTTTGATAATTACAAGTGTTGCCAATTCTTTGACAATACGAACTTCAAAGTCCAAGAAGGAATATCTTATCTTATTTACTCAGTCAGTACTTGTTCGTGGAGTATTGAAGAAGGTATAAGTCTTTGATGCGTGTAATAATTTGTACGTAGGTCAAGCGGCCAGCAATCCATAGAATTAAGACGCAGACCTTCTGTTCTGACACTAATAGTAATAAAAATATTGAATATTTTCATTACTGCCTGAGGGCAGACGTACTAACAAGTACAATCCGGCTGCTGATGATCTGCAGATGATTTTCGTCGCCCGCATGTTTTAATTTTACGCCTAAAGGATTCATTACCGGCAAGCTATTAATTAATTTACAGCGCGCTTTGCAGCTGGATGTAGGAACTACAGACAATTCTTTCCCTCTATGATTGAGTTTCTTGTTTGACTATTTAGCTCAGCAAAATTAAACAACGGGTTTTAAAAGAAACTTCTCTACAACGTGCCATTGATGGTGGTCGTTTATCCAAAAAGTGGAAGGTGCAATTCTCGGCAGTATAACGTTTTCAACTTAGCTGGTTGATATTTTGAACTCCGAGAAATTGTACTTTTCTCTGTTCATTTGTATGGTAACTGATTACAGTGATGGTGTAAAGCAAAGATAAATAAAACTCGTAGCAGGGGTGGAATTAAGTAATCGAATATCACATTATTTCTGTACATTTTAAACGGCTCAGTCTATTTTAAGAAAAACAACTGTTATGTCTTAATCGACGACTACGTAGCACGAACCAACAACTTAGTCTCTGCCTTTTTGTTCCTCTTTTTTGTATGTAAAATCTTCTTTTATATCACTAACTTTTAAATAGAATATGGCTCTTTTTTTTATAGTTATCAGGAAAACTAAATCGCCAATAACCTCAACCCGGTGGGTCCTCCCTAAGGCAGATCAAGATTTTTTTTCGCCATCTCGTTTCGATACACTATACACATAATGATAAATATTAGATCTTTCTTTAATCGATCTTTGATCTGGCTACGGTTGCATCTCCGTAATCGTCGGAACTTGGAAGCTAACCCTTTAGTCCAAAGAGTGATTTTCAAGACGAGAACGAGTACGAGTACGAGAGTTAGCTTAAAGTTTTTGCGCGTCTTCAAATAAAAAGACGCCCTGGAAAGTTTCATTTTCCTTTATTTCACTAAAAAAAATTAGTAACGGTTATTTTCTCCCGATAAAAAATGATAAAACTTCTTACATTGGATAACTTTTTCCTGCCACTACGACATTCTCGCTAAACTACTACGTTTTCTCGCCAAAATGACGTTGGCTCACGCTCGTCTCAGAATCTAAAGCTCTCTAATATCACTACCGAATCGAGAGAAAAGATCATGGTAAATTTTAAAATGATTAATAGATGGGAAACGTTTTGTTCTTTTGTCAAATTCCCTCAATCATCTATAATGATCAGATGGGCGAATTTGCATTAGCATATTGGGGGCTAAAGTGTTAACAATATCAAACATAGTGAATGCATTTGCGCACGTATATCAAGAATCACTCAGTGTGTAAGAAATTGATGACGGAAAAACACCAGCTGAACAACTGGCAAAATAACTTGTTCTGTGCGTAAGACCACACAAGCACTGTGACTAACTGATTTTAGAGATGGAGTCAACACATGTTTTAAACTGACTTAACATTGCTTTCAGAAATTAGGCTATCAGTGTACGCCTTTTCGGTCAGTGATAACTGTAATAAGTAGCGACAAGAGCCATAATGGTCCCATCATGGCTCTTGATAGCGATATCTTAACAATGTACAAGCAGATACCACTGTATAACTATTCAGAAGGCAAGAAAGTCGAAAGGAAGGGTCGAGGAGGTAGAACTCTACGAGTTTCATCGGATATTTCCTGTGTGTTGCTTGTATGGGGGCCGATTTCAAATACTGTAACAAAAAAGAACTTTTTTGAAAAGGGAAGTGACAAACAAAAGGAAAACAACTTGTAACAATTGTATCCAAGGATTATGGAGGATGGGGAGGTCTTTAGAACACTATGAGCCTAGCCCACGCCGGATGCACCATATGGGTCTATTTTTGGAAAGAGAAATGGCGGACTGAATTGGAAGCGGGGATATTTCCCAGTGGTGACATTTCGGAGAGGGAAGCATTAAGAAGTAAACGTGCGCGCATGGCATTGCGTCCCCATAAGTCAACTACTTTCTGATAGCATTGAAACTTCACGAGTCGTGGGCGATCCATCTCTTCACAAAACCGCACGCTGACTCAGAGCAGTATTTCAGGAAGTGATTTAGAAAATAGGTCAATTTCCCAGTGAGATTCATTGAACAGCATGCCATGAAGAAACAACTGACTCTCTTATAGGATTATAACATTCCTAGAGTACTCGAGTTTATTCTAGTTGCAGATTGATTCGTAAGCTGGATGCTGCTGCATTATCAAGAAAAATGATTTTACAATGTACTTAAGCCCCATTGTGTCCTTTGTGTTTGTCTACGTTAAAAGTCGTCATTTTCTTTGTGTGTGCTAATCCGAGCAAGGTAGATTGACCCATGCAAATAAATTCACTTTGCTCGCCTGGCCGTCAATGTAGTTGGTTTACATAATCCAAGTAACATTTGTAAGACCGGAGAAAGTTTGTCACAATACACCTGAAACAAAAACGTTTTGGTCCTCATATCTTCCCAGTTGACAACACGTTTCGTCACAGCTTCGTAAGTCACATGTTTCGTAATTTGTTAAGTAAAACCTCCAGTACCATCGCGACATGCTAAACTGTTTTGTTCACCTCTCTGAAATTTATCCAGAGCCTTTCATTTTCTGTCGTACTAATAACTCATGAAAAGATTCCCCGGTGGCGACAGACCCAAGTGCTTTTGACTGTTAATTATTTAATTATTGATTAGGAAAAGGATAACAAATCCATTTCCAGTTTGTATTGGTCATGCCTCCAATCTGATACCAGGAGCTTGGATTGCTTAATGAGACAGTTGATCGAAGGTTGTATCAAATCCTGAAAGAAATGCACTCAATTTGGACACCACTGGGCGATCTCGAAAAAATCAGTCATGTACTTTCTAGAAGCTGGGGGCTGAAGACCTTGACGGGGATTCGGACAGTTTGTCATTTGGTATAAGTGGTTTGGGGTGGTAAAGTAAACAAATTACCACAAACCAGACATAGAACCAGACAGACATGATAACTACAGACATAACTGTCTCATGTAATACATGTTTCAGTTTTATTTTAATATTTCATAACCCCTTGTGTGTTGTTTGCATTCAGATCAGACAAGCAGGTTTCACTGCGTAAGCCCAGGCTAATTGAGTTCTTGTCTATCATTCGACAGGTAAATCAAAAGTGATCATGGCGCTGGAGTTATTGGCACTAGCATTTGTTATGATATCCGCTGTACTTCTTTACAGCGCATACTCACACGCCACTGAGAACGCAAAGTTACCGCCTGGTCCGATGCCTCTACCCCTCATTGGTAACATGCTGCAAATGGGAACAAAACCTCATTATGGTCTTACCAAGCTGGCGAAGAAGTTCGGAAAGGTTTTCCGCCTCTCTGTCGGAGTTCGTCGCATCGTGGTAATCAACAGTATCGATCTCGCTCGTGAAGCCCTCGTTAAGAAGTCGCACGACTTCGCAGGCCGTCCTCGACTCTATACAGCTGACCTTATATCGAGAGGAGGTAAAGATATAGCTTTCAGTGACTTTAGCCCGACCTGGAAATTGCAGAGAAAGATCGCGCACTCGGCGCTAAAAATGTTTGGGCAAGGCATCAAGCCGATCGAAGAAAAAATCTGCCAGGAGATTGACGAACTTATCTCCCGCTTTGAAAGTGTGGAGGGACGCGCGCACGATCCACATAAAGATGTTGTCTTGGCTGTTATCAATGTTATCTGTGCGTTCGTGTTCGGCTCGCGTTACAACTTGGAAGATCCGGAATTCAACACCATCTTGCGTTACATGGAGCAGGTTGTGCAGGGTTTTAGGGCTGGAAATTTGGTCGACTTTTTCCCTTGGATGCGACATTTTCCGTCCAAGGGATTGAAACTCATCAGGGAAGCTGTGAAAGACCGTGACATCATTCTACAAAAGAAGTTCGAGGAGCACAAGAACACTTACCAAGACTGCGTGACGCGTGACCTTACTGATGCTTTGATAAAAGCAATGAAAGATTCCCAGTCAGAAAACCCCGACAATGTGTTATCTATCACTGAGGACCATGTGGTGTTGACCATATTTGACATTTTTGGAGCAGGAATGGAAACTACTTCCACGTGCGTCCTCTGGGCGCTTGCATACTTAGTTCGCAATCCCAAGGTGCAACAGCGTATTCACCAGGAGCTCGATGACGTCATAGGACATGATAGGCTGCCTGAATTAGCAGACAAGCCCAACTTACCCTACTTGGAGGCTACCATTTTGGAAGTGCTGAGGTATAGCTCGATGGTTCCACTGTTATTTCCGCATTCCACAACTGCAGACACCACTTTGAATGGATATGAAATTCCCAAAGACACCATGGTACTGTTTAACGTCTGGGCCATGCACCATGATGAAAACGAGTGGCAAAGACCCTACGAATTTGACCCCTCGCGATTCCTTGATGCTGAAGGAAAAGTCATTTGCCCGGGCACCAAAAGTTATCTGCCTTTTGGAGCTGGTAGGCGCGTGTGCCTCGCAGAATCCCTGGGGAAAGTCCAGCTGTTTCTCTTCGTTTCACGTCTGCTTCACAAGTTCCGCTTCAGCGTTCCTCACGGTGCCAAAGTGCCTGATTTAGAGGGGATTTTTGGTTCAAGTATGAGTCCCAAGCCGTACCAATTGTGTATTGAAAGGCGCTGTTAGTAGCTAGAGACACGCCTTGAAGGCGTGAACATTGTAGAAGTGTGTTCTTGATCAAGAACACTCATCCGTTCCAAAGTAAGCCGCGAAGCTTAGGGTGAATCCAGGAGAGGACATTGAACTATGGATGAACTGTTTTGCAAAAAGCAGCCATTAAGAAATAACACTTCAGTTTAACTAAGTGAAACCGAAGTCAGTTATAAGATCGTAAACCATATATTCAGAAGACCGATTAAATATAAAAAGCTCCAAAAGGTTAAGTCCTCTATGATAACAAAAATGGCTACAATATACCTAAGCAAGATGTCAATCGAATGATATGAGACTGTTCCAGCGTCCAATATCAGTTGCAGCAAAACTTCCTCCTTTATGAATTTAGTAAAACAAGGAGAAACTCTTCTAGCATAGAAGTGATTTAGTCAAGATCAAAAGTTGTTAAGCAACAACACGGCTCTTCGAGAATTATACTAAACCGCTACCAAAATTTCACAAGTACTACTACAATTGAGTTGTCACCTTATTCAGGAATGTGAATGTTGTGGCTCAATGTTATCCTTGGTTTAAATTTTAATGTCTTTTGTTTTTGGGTATGGTAATGTACGATAATGAGTTTGAAACAAAAGAAAATAAAATTTCAACCAAGGATAAAATTTAATCACAACATGTATACTGACTATTTTGCCAAAACCGACAGACGTTAACCAAGATGATAACGTACAAGTAAAGCAACTCGCAGAGTTATAAATACAATTTTCTTACATCAAACAGTAACTGCTGTAACGCAGGATCCCATAGGCTCCTATGTAACGACATTTCAAATGAAATGATATTATATAACTAATTTATTTTATATAATTTATTTTTATTTTTATCATTTTTTTTATTTCAAAACAATTATTTTACAAAGAAGTGGACAGGTAATCAATGAAAACTAAGGTTGAAATATATTTTACATTTAATTCTTCACGTGACTCATTCGTGTCTGGCATGTGAATTGCACGTGCAAAGATGAGCAAGTTATGCAGACAAATTTAATTAACGCAAACAGCTACATTAAACGCTATTCTATAAAAATTTATTAGTCTTTCGCTGGAAGTGTTTTTTCTTTTTCTTAAAGCTCGCCTGACTGGGGGATGAGCTACAGATGATGAAGTCTCCTTAACAAATACATTATTAAAAATGATCAGAATCGTTTTAAACAGTAGATGCAGCGGCACGCAGTCACATCAGAGAGCGGGAAAAAAATACCCCACCTCTCCTCACCTTTCGCTGTTTTACCCGCTCACATCTCTGCGCCGTCTCAAAATCTGAACGCCTTGAACAGGCCGAGTGACTTTCGGGCCGACTCGAATATGGTTTTCTCTGTCATGTCCCTTTGGCTATTTTGTCCATGTATAGAGCGAGTGCGCCTCCGTACTTTTACAGTACCGCTACTTTCGAAGGGTCGCTACTTTCGGGGGGTACAGTACTTTGGGAACTTTACAGTAGTTTACAAAAAATCTTGAAAAATTTTCCTTGATACAGTTTCTTTAATTGGGGCGCTGTATATCTTTGACTACAGGGATCGATGTCTTATAACAATTACTGGCCGGCAAAGTACACTGAACGACACGTGTATTATAAACATTGTGTTTAAGCTTCATAGCCTCTCTCCTCCGCGTAGGCCTCTTCGTTTGGCGTTGGGAAAAAAGAAACCAAGCAGTGGATGATGGGAAGGGACCCAGAGAGCTATATAGCATGAAGAGCTAGAAGAAGCTAGCAAGTCCTAATTTTTCTTGGTTTTTATACGCACAATGGTAATCGCTGAAACTTCATTTCTAACAAAAACTGATAGTCAACTAAATAATGACATATATATTTTCAGTTTTTCTGACAATATTTTAATTAATTTCCGTTTCAATTTCGCATTAAAAGTTACGTCTGTATATTTGCTGGGAAAAGTTCAGTCAAAACTGCTACTCGACTCTGTAGCATCAGATACAGTAAAATTCTTTCATCTTGATAACCAGACCCGATAACCCTCGGGATCTATCCCGTTTCTCTCCAGCGCATAAAGTGCTTTGTTAAGCTCAGCCATTTCTGGTATCTTATTTCTCTCTTCCTCTATCGCTGAAAGGAACTCTGCAATAAAAGTACAAAAAAATATTACAAAATGTTTTACCTGAAACGGTCTCAAACGGCTGAGTCACAGAAAGAAGTCGATAACACCGGTTCACTGACTCAATAGAGTCTTTTTCCATGTTTCGGCTGTGCTCTTTTTAGACTTGAAAATTCCGTGTATTCACTGTCTTTTATAGAGCGAATCAACTCCATACTGAAAGAACAGAGTGAAATTTGTCAAAAGCTCATCTTATATCCGGCGTGGAACTGAGAGGCGCTGCCACTCCTAACTCTTGCGCTCAAAGCACGTGTCTTTGTAACGACTGCAAACTCATGAAGTCTGTTCTTCAGTTTACGAGTAATATAGAAAGGTTTCGACCTTTAATGGCTCGTAAATTATTATCGCCGGAAAAATTATATTTGTTAGGTGAGGCACGAATAGAACCCAAAACCGCGAAGGAAGAAAACTGCATAAGGCGAAGAGAATAACAAAACTTTACTGACAGAAACTTACCATCAATGGAACTATCCGAGTTCAAATATTCTTCAAGTCTTCCCCAGTCGTCGACAAATCTCTTAACCACGTGGAATTGATTAAGAGGATTCCCCAGATATTCTCCTACTTCATCACCAGATAGTGTCTTTAAAACAGAAGTACGATTGAGAGCTTCTTCGATCTCCTTCAAATGCTCCTCTTTCTGAGAAATAAATCTATTTAAAGCGGGGAGCAGGCGTTCTTCAAGTTTATAAAGTGCGGTTGGGCTGAATTCTCGAGCACTTGCAACCATAAATAGGGTAGAAATCATCAAAAGTAAAACGCTCGCAAACGAAACCATCTTTTTTATGTTCCGCTATGAAAGTCCATGGTAAATTCAAAACAATATTAAACTAGTTCCACTTTCAATGCGCTGTGATTAACAGAATTAAATATTTATGGCAGCTTACAAGTGTCTATATTTTTCTCAAAAAAGAACAACCCGCAGCAATCATAAATTTGGTGAGCAATTATGGGACTCTCCCTTAAACCCCGGGGGGGGGTACTCGATATATCCCTGGGTAGGGAGGTGCGACGCGGCCCCTCATACCCTGACCCAGTTTAAGACAAATATCGCTGATTTTCCTACCTAAGACAGAATTCCGATTTTTGATACCCTGGTTAAGACATTTAATTAACATTACAGCTTGTAAAAATTTTGCTGTTTATCGTCCAAGAAAAGATATCCTGTTTAAGACAAAAATTGATAAATCGATACCCTGATTAAGACAAAAAATCATAAATTCGATACCCTGTTTAAGACAAAAAATCATAAATTCGATACCCTGTTTAAGACAAAAATCCTTAAAAACATACCCTGGCTAGCCGCACGTCCCCATTAAGCCCTTATAAGAGAGTACCCCCTCCCCCCGGGCCTCAAACCGACTATCAGGACTCTGTAACTGTCGCGTCTGTAGTAAATCCTAACTTTTATCAACGGCAGAATTTACCACAGTTTGGTGATAAAAAGTAATAGTTCTAAGACGCTGGTTGCGGGCCTTTGTTAACGATACCAGAATCCCGATTTGATTGCACAAAAGATTTTTTAAAAATAACCTTCAATAAAACATGTGGAGCATCAGATTTGTGGCGTTTCAGGTAAGCTGAACGCCAGCTGTAACTTTTTATTAATTCTTGGAAAATGTAAACGCAGCTTGTGGAAGTTGTGCTTTAGCCTACGAACGCGAACTTTTCTCTGGTCGTCGCTTCTCTTACCAGCCAACGGGTCCTGGGTTACCTGTGGTGTCAATCAATTCTTCGGTTCCAAAAAGGTTTTAAAACTACAACGACCCTATTAAACGAGAGCCTGTGAAAGTCAAATGAGTAACACCGAGCGTCCCTCTGAGCCGATGATTATTTTGTAACTGCAGATTATAGTGATGAAGCGATCGGCTGTTGCAGCTCCCAAACGCGCCCCAAACCGGCTTGCACACCGCAGGACACCGCGTGCACAGATCTGTGCGCTTGTATATGACCATTCATTTACGATTTTTGCAATTTTGCAAATACAATTTTCTAAAATTAAGGGATAAGTATAGAGATATTACTCACGACGGACAAATAAGGCTTAACTAAGCTGTCATCTACGCTAGACACGTTTAGATATTTAAATTTGCTCCATACTTCTCATAGCTGCCGAGATAGCTCAGTTGGGAGAGCGTCAGACTGAAGATCTGAAGGTCCCTGGTTCAAATCCGGAGAGTTCGCATGAACTCTGAATAATCCCGGGTCTCGGCAGAATTTTTTTTCCTTTCCTTTATTTTCTTCTTTTTTCTTTCCCTCTTCCTCCTCACTCATTAATTTTATGCTGATAACAGAAGCTTGTAAGTAGAGTATCAAAAGTGTGTAAATACATGCCAGACATTTACAGGAATAAATATCATTTGCGAGAGTAATCTCAGATAATTATCATTTGCAGTACAAAATATGAAAAAAGTTACAATCTCAAAATTGTTTAGTAAAACATGACAAACACTTAGTATAATTATATGAAAAAATAGATTTTGCGACGTTTTCGATGAAACTTCTGTTTGTTTTCTCTTGTCGGGTCGGATGGTTTGCTCTGTGTGCACTTCAGAACGAGGCCAACCAGACATGCGCACTGAGTCAAAGGCAAGCAGACAAAGCGTGATGATCATGATGGCGGCGTGTTGATGTTGATGTGTGTGAAGTTTCTGTTGCGTATTCAGGTCTGTTTTATCAGACAACGAATAATTTTGAGTCTAGATTAACCCCAATTGAGTTTTGTTATGCCGTGACCCTTCGTTTTGTTATTTTTAAGTCATTTTACGTGGTTTATCAAGCGCTTTTTATTGTACATATTTTTATCTTATTTTCTCCGGCTGAACCATGTATATAAAAATAACTACTCAGGGAAAGTTTCACCTTTGTTTGTAGTGCTGAAACATTGTAGTGAAGCAAATGGACTTGTACAGCTTACTTAAAAGTTGTTAACTTTCTAGTTTCGGCAGAGATAAACGTCTTTCGAACTCTACTTTGTACTAATTTCGGTCAATGTTCCTTTCACATTTTGCAGATGTAAAAGATCTTTAGAAAACGCAGCCTAAGGACATGGCTTCCTTGGCAGGATTCCAGTATACACCTGAAAATGTGCAAAGACTAGAAAAGGTAATTTGAAATCTCTGTAGTAATTATTAAGGATTAACCTGCTAGCAAGGAGCAGCAAGCTCTCCCGGCTTAATTGCAGAATACCCTGCCACTTTAAAGCAACCCCCCAATAGGTGGATATGCGGATACTCAGCCACTACGTATCGGCATATCTGCATATCCACTTTTTGACACAGTGGAAAATAACAAATGCGTTTTTTGTTGATGCAAAATTTTAAACAGAATGCAGCAGCTTTTCAATATTGAAGCGACATGTTTCCACTGAATTCAAGAAATATTGTAGATCCGACTCAGCTTATAGGCTACGATTCAGACCAGAAAGTCCATACAAACAACAATTTTTATTATTTTCTTTTGGAGGTCTTTTCTTTGTGCAAAATTGTAATATTTTGCTCCTGGAATGCTAGTGTAGCAGTTTTCATGCTTTGTTGTTTCCTGCGCTTTCTGGGGTGGGAATGAAAATGTATGAGAGATCGTAGCAAGCTGTCTCTCGCACTGGTGTCTCCTTTCGCGTGCTGCTCTTGCATGACTTCTCGCAACTCCCCCCAATGGAGAGCTTGCCCGCAGGCTAATTTAGGAAGTATTATTAAAGCGTCTGAACAATTCAAACCAGGCGAATTTCTTTTTTTAGCCATAGCTTCCTGAAAGGACAGGGGCTCAATTTTTTTCTTGAAAGAATCAAAGATACAAAAAATTCATACGACCCTTCAGCCATTTTTTTTACAGATGCAAACAAAAAATCATCCTTTCACATTGTTTACTTTTATAACACGTTTTTAATTTCCCTGGGCTTTTGATATCTTTTATTCAGCAATTGTCGCAAATCTTGCAACCTGCGAGACATACAATGTATCTCCCACTCTGGAGAATTTCTGTGGTGTCACAAACACTGCGGAATAAGCCTTGCTCCTACATGTAATTAATATTGAAAATGTCAATTTGGATTGAATTATCATAATGAACATGTATCATTAAATGTGCAGTTTAAATGCATTTAAATGCAATTTAAGGGAGTTAACAACTAAGAGTGCCTTTAGTGCGTGAGGTCAGTGGTCTTTGGCATGCGCATGCCCAGTAGCTGGCTACATCGATCATGTGATTCATTGGCGCATTCAGTTTTCCTTCGTGCTAGGTTCTGTCAGCCATTTTCTCCCCCCCCCCCCTCCCTCTAGGCTTTGTTCGTTTTTCTCCACTGATGTTTTTTTTTAGTGTGACGGGTGCCTGTTCCTTTCCTTTTGTGTGGGGGCTCATGGCTGGGTTATGCTGTTGTGCCAGTCATGGGGGCATTATTTCAATCTAGGGGCTGGCTGCCAATAGTGGAAGCCCCTGGATACTCCAGGCACCCAACCTCCATTTTAGCGATGCAGTTCGTAATAGTCCAGTCCACTTTTTTTAGGCTCTGCACACCATGCAAGAAAGAGGCATGGAATCAGACCCTCGTTATGCACAGCTGATGTCATTAATGAGAGCAAAACCACCAAATATTGACATGTCAGACATTGGACAGGGCCACCAGCTACCACCGCAATCAATGTCAATGGGTATGGGAATGGGTGATATGCAGTCACGAAGCTCCCCAGCTCCAAACATGATGTCTCCTTCACCGCAAAAAGTACCTTCATTCACCTCACCTCAGTTATTGCAGCTCAGAGCTCAAATCATGGCTTACAAGCTCTTAGCACGAAGTCAGCCTCTGCCAGAACATATTCGCATCGCCATTCAAGGCAAGTCGCCATCTGTAAAACCAGGTGGACTGGGTATGCCGCAACCTGGCCAGTTGCCATCCATGAATCAGAATCAACAGGTTAATCAGACGACCCCTCAAAGCCCATCTCCCTTTGGTGGTGGAGGCATACCATCTTCTTCTGCTGGACCTGTACCGAACCAAACTGCATATAATGTTCCTGGAATGACTACTGGTAGGTTAACACATGCTTTGTTCTGTCTTTGTTGCTCAGTTGCCAGCATTCTTTTTTTTTCATAAAAATGCAAAATGCTTCCCTAATACCATGTGTTACAAATATAATGGTAATTGAACTGAGTGGAATGCAAATTGGTCTGAAATTATTTGTGTGATTTTAAGCGCTCATCCAATTTGAAATCACAACTATGATTTCAGACCAAAATTGTACAACACTAAGTTCAATTACCACTTTATTACAGCTATTTTTTTGTTGGTTTACACAGTCTGGTTTTCCGGTGAACAACTTCTCTTTATCTGGTTAGTATGGCACACATTTGACTCAAACAGTTGAATAGACTGTTCTTCAGAATAATAACCTTGCAACTTACTTTGTCACTAGCTCAGCAACTTCAGATCAAACCATCTGCTGGCTCAAGTCAGGCATCAAACTCTGCCTCCATGGCAGCAGCTAAAGGTGCTGCTGCAAGTGCTATTGCCGCAGCTTCCCAGCAGCATAAGCTGAAAGAGCAGCAGCGTCAAGCACTGGCCCAACAGCAGCAACAGCAGCAGCAGCAACAACAACAACAACAGCAACAGCAGCAGCAGCGCAAGTTACAACCTCAGGGTTCCACACAAGCAGGGATAACAATGCCAAGCAAGCCTAGACTGGCACCAGTCGCTAAACCTACTGGTCTTGATCCTGTCACTATACTTAAAGAAAGAGAAAACAGGTAAGAGACATTAAGTTCAATTTTTTGCAGTTAACCATG